TAGTTCCCTTACCTGACCGTGTTCTTCCAGTGGGAGTTTAGATAGCGATGTCCCAGAGCCAGGCCTCGCCTAGCATTTAGCGAACTCTTCTCAAATCCGGAGCGAGACCTTACCGGAGTCTCGGGAGACCAGCGAGCCGTGCTGTTTTAGAAATTGCGATATTAGGGGTCTCTGTCTTTCGGTAATCTCCAAGCCTCCTATATTCTCTCCTCCCAAGTCTGTATTAATAGAGCTTATTGTCTAACAAGCTTCTCAGTCGAAGGCGAGTGACCAAATGTGAGGAACGAACCACCCAAGCCACTCTAATTCGGACCCTTGGTCATCCAGCCACGGAATCCTATACTGTCCACAGGCCATCACAGGGCCACAGTTGGCCAGGGTGTTTCCGGAGGTTTGGATCATCACGGAATTCCGGCGCGCGGCTTGGGCAGCTTGCCGGAGACCAGGGACGACATTTTACTCCCCCGTGAGAGGTGACGCACAAACTACTGGGACCGGCTTTCCCGGATGTCCTTGGCTCCCAAGTCAACATTCGAGTTGTGCACTACGTATGTGGGTCATGAATCACGAATGCACTTCTGAATTCCTTGGTCACATCTCCGATCCGGGCTCGCACTCGCAATGTTACCACAGGTCAAGTCAGGTCTCGCTGGAGGGGGGATCCTAGCAGCAAGCCATAACCCCACCCACTGATTGTACAAGCACCTATCCCTCAATCCCACGGGGAACCCAAGAACTCCAGTACCACAAATACTGGTACCGAAGGAAATCCTGCAGGTCGGGAGTCACAGGACTTAGGAGATAAGACCTTATGGGGACTTCTCGCAAAGACTCCAGTCTTCATCCAACCAGCCCTTAGGAATATCTATTTCAACCCACCTATACCCAGCCCACCGCATAAACCCCCAGCCCCACCCGCGCCCCACATGGTAGGCGGCCCGGGCTAGAGGTCGTTCCGCCCGACGGCGGAACTCCACCCCCGTCAGTCATGCACGATCCCCTCTGCTCGCAGCCCAGCTGCTCTCGTTAATAATATGATTACTATTGCGTGAAGCCAAGAGCTAAACTAAAAAAAGGCTAATTTGGGTGTAAGTATGGAATAGCAGCCGTTTTTACCAACGTCCTCCAGCTTAGTTATCTCCCAGTGCATAACTGCAGAGTTATCACTGCAGGGCACAAGTATCATACCATTGGCTAACAAGGCTAAGCCTTACCGGGGTTCTCCAGTGGTGACAGCCTCACCGTAGATCTCGGTGTGATGTGGGGTCGGACAGGGCTGGGGAATAGCATACAGTACTCGCACACTCCTTCCAGATTTCTAGGTACAAGTGGCAGGCATAAAAAATGGGTACAGTACAGATGGGTGGGGTTGATGCCGGGAAAAATTCTGGTACATTGCAACCAGATAGTCCTCTCGAGGAAAAGGTGACAAGTTGCTGAGGTACCTTTTAAATTCACACTTATAATGCCGTGATAGATGAGAGTAATCTCAGTATGTTACCGACAGAAAACTACAAAAGAATATTAGTCTTTTAGGCAACTCTCTGGGGTTTGCTTGTAGGATTGGCGAATTGGAGACAGGACTAAAAATATTCTAGTTTAGATATTCAGGAACAATGCTAGTCAAGCATATGTATAGGTGGTTGATTTGTCAGTAAAACCTGCTGGATGAGGGGCTGTCTACATGGCTCATCAAGAGTTTCTCCTCTGAATTGCACAGTATGGGGAAGAATATAGTAACATATCCAATGGAGAAGCAGGATATTATGGAAAAGCTGAGTGTAGTATCGTAGCATGCTCCAATAAGCTGCAACACGATGGGAATAGGTTAGAGGAATTGCTAGGAAGTATAGTATCTATATTGACCTGCAAGTGTATATATAGGCTCAATCAACATGACCCTAATGCTTTTACTTGGATGTATAAAAATAGATCCTCCTATCCACTATCTTCTCTGTGGAGCCTATTTCTTCAATATTATTATCCTGATATCATACAGATATCATTGGTCCCGTCTTCCACCTAGTATTGATCCTAGTACTCGGCCATCCAGACTTGCTAATATTTCCTTCAACTTTGGCCAGCTAGGACTTTACTGGAACAACAGCGTCAGCTGCAGTTTGTGATTTTTACTTCCACGTCACAGTGTATAAGATCGGTCGCACACCGTCTAATTACCGGTATCCGTTGAATTAAGGGTCAATTTCGCACGGAACTTGCCGTCATTCATAATCAGACAGCCATGCCATAGTGGACTCGTACCTGCTCCCAGAGTGGCGGTACACCCGCAAGATACTTCTATAAACAGGGCGTCCAACTCAGCGGGTTATTTAAGCCAGGGGCACAGTGCCTTCGGGAAATTCTCCAAGGATATGTGACAAGCGGCAGGCAATACCGGGTTCAAGACCCTTCAAGAGGTCTCCCTTAAGCTATGGTACCCTCAAAGGGAGGAAATACCCAGAATATGGTACTGCAAGTGCGGTACCGGTACTACCGTATCGGCCTCCTGGACATCCACACTACCGGTAAATACCGGAGAAGCTACATAAGCCACAATAGTCCCCAGACGCCACTATATTAACCTTCTCAAAAACATCCGCAGCACTTGGAAAACCACCGTACTCCCCCCCCCCCCCCTTGAGCCTCATTTTTCCCAACTCCGGCCCCCACCTCTCACTCCTGCAAGCCACGAATCCCATTCCATGCTGCGGTGCCAAAAACTTCCCTCGCAATCGCCCACCACATCACTGACCTGCAGACTCTGCTTGGGTATAGTAAATTACCGACCCCGGCACGGCCGTCCAACCCAGCGGTTCGCTCCCTCGGAGGAACTATACACGGGACAAACGTCCCGAAGCGGGGATTAGTTGACAGTTGTAACGACGAGCCGCTCAACCCTACTCCGCGATGATGTAACATGACATTAAATTTCTCCGACCCATCACCGGTAGTTAACTAGTCCTTAGGGGTGAGTGGGCGGACGGACGGACTGACAGACTGCCCCCTTGGCGGATGCCTCGGTCTAATCATACACATGTCGCGGAGTTGAAGTCGAATCTCCGGTAGTGATGGCCAAATTCCGTAGGTGCGACTTCACTCCGGCAACGCGAGCACAGTAAGGGACTCGCACAGTCCAGTCCAGTCCGGTGCTGCACCCCGGCATCCAACCCGGCCATGGAAGGTGGCGAACACCCAAGGCAATGTACGGTACTCGAGTACGGTACGGTACGCGCCTCCCGTGTGCTAGGACGGTACCACTTCCTTATTTAACCTACCGTATGCCATCCCGCAAGCGCCTTCCCGTGCTACCTACCTATCCACTCCGTATCCACCGAGCTTTCTGCACCATCACCCCAATCGATCGAATCGAAATCCCCAGAGGCCACTCCCCCCCCACAGGAGACCCCACAATTTCCTGTCTGTCTGTCCGTCCTCAATCACACTCAGCACGGGTTGCGCGCGGCATCCAGCGCATGTGAGGGCAAGCGGTTCAGCTCGCCATAGACCAGAAACTCGGAGTCCCGGGAGTACTGTGCCGTAATTGAATGCTGTAAAAATCTCGTGTAATCCGCTTATCCTCGGCACCGCCCATCATCTCCGGATTCGAGGACAAATGGGTCCCGAGAGGGGTTGGCGCTTTCCTGTCATGGTAGAAATCGGCGCATTAACTGGTATAATAAATTCTTTTAACTTGTCGGATAAAACTCACCCAGGCGGGAGATTTTACGGGTGCTGTACAGTGCTTGTAGAAGCACTGTAGCATAGTATAAGGGTCCACGGTTGCACCGTGTGGAGAGGGACGGAGTGGCGATGGGATGGTGTCGATGATAGGCTTCATCCAGAGGAGAGAGAGAGAACTGCGTTGGGGTACCGCACAGTACGGTACAGTACCATACCAGCACATCAATGTGCCGTACTAGCGCATGGCAAAAAAATATCCTGAATTCCCCATGCTTTCCTGGGCTTCAGGGTGGGCAGGTCCCGGACACAGGTATTTTTTTTTCAGCGCGCAAGTACGGTACCCGTAGTCATAGTAATGGGCGAAGACAAAAGAGATTCCTGGTATGATACAAGTACGAACAACACAGTACAGTACAGTACAGTACAGGAGCGGTACCATACTTCAATATCCCAAGACCAGTGCGGAACCCATGCTGCAGTACAGTGCTGGTACAGTACAGTACTCGTACAGTACCATAATCGAGAACGGTACCGGTACCAACACCGCACTCGCACTTCCATCCCGCATACCCCTCTCCCCGCGCAAGATATTGTGCCGCGAGAGCACATTGCATACAACTCGTCGCAGGATCTAACCAATTCCCCGCCGGCAGTCCCGTGCCTTCTTCATTCGATATGATAAAATACGGCACGGGTATGGTACAGTACAAGTACTCGTACAGTGCGGTACTGCAGCCCAACGCACGGACCACTCACGACGCCTCACTCGACGCTCGCCAAACTGGGTCGCAGGCTCCAGCCAATCACGCAACGGGCAATCAGGTAATTCCCCCGACTCCGAGCGCAGGCCGGGATTTGTAACTCTCCGGTTTTAGCGATGGCTTTTTTGGGTGTCTGTGGTCCGCTTTGGGGGCGGGAGGGGAGGGGGATGTTACACATTGTGTCGAAATTGGGGGGGGGGAAATAAAAAAAGAATGAAATACGGTACAGTACGGTAGGTCTCTACTGTGTTGTGCGATATCGGTACCATGCCGTGTTTTTTTGTTTTTTTTTTACAGGAAGGGGGAGGCGATTTAGAGATTTTTGCTTTTTGTTTTCGTTTTTGCTCCTCCTCCCCCTTCAGTTCGTGGGGTCATCATGGTGGATCGAACTGGATGGGCCGGAACTCCTGGTATCATTAACAAAGTGAAGAGGGACAAACGGGAAAAAATATAATTTAGGATGGCTGTGGAGATGGTGAAAGAAAGAAAGAAAAACAAAAAGAAAAACAAAAAGTTATGGGACAGTAGAACAGCACTCAGGACAAGATCGTAACATCACGACCTGCGAAATTGAAGACTATACGCCCCATCCGCGCCCTTGACCATTCCAAAATCGCTAGTGCTAATCCCGAAAGGCCTGAGTAACCCTTCGCCCATCTGCTTCAACTTCCCCACAACCTCCGCCGTCTCCGCGTCCTTGACCTCATCGATCCTGCCGGGCAGCCAGCGAATCTTCTCCTTGACAATCTCCAGTTCCTTCTCGCCGATCCCCCCCGCCGGTGCGCCCCCAGCGCCAGCGGCCAAGCCCTCAACAGCCTTGTAATCCTCCAACGCCCCCTCTAGCTCCGCCCACCCGCCGATCCCCTCCCTACCCCGTGCCCTCCTGTACAATGCCTTCCCCCAGCGCGGCCGCCCTTCCAATGCTTTGGTCGCGGATTTGACGGCAGCGGGATAGCGCTGCAGCTTCAATTCCACCGCGGCGATGTTGGCGTATATAGTCGCCACCTCTTGGACCAGGTAGATTGGGCAAGAGGTCAGCGCGAGCTTGTAAGCGTCGAGCGCGGGGAGGAGAAAGTTGGAGTTGAACAGACGGTTCCCCGAGATGCGGTAGGAGGTGGATTCTGTTAGGAGGCGCTGCGGTGCGGAAACGGCAGTAGGGTTGGCGCGGTGGTTAGCTTTGCGGCGGCAGAGGCGGTGACGGGTGCGGATATTTTGCAGTGCAGAGGAGGAGGAGCAGAAGGTAGGGGGGCGAGGGGGGCAAGGGGAACGGGAGGAGGGTGAAGGAGAAGAAGAGCAAAAACTTGAGAAGAAAGAACAGGCGGAAGAGGGAGGGGCGCCAACATTCTCTTCATCCTTTGAAAACCTCTCCCCGAGCGGCGGTTTCGTGGGCCCGTGTTCATCCTCTTCCTCTCCGGCCCCCGCCGCCCTCGTCACCGCGGCGCAATCGTCTGAAGTGTCCATGCACCCGCCGTCATCGTCCACTTCGCGGATATCCCGCTGCGCCGTATCGCTCGTGCTCGGAAAGACGCACCCGCCCAGGGCCTCGCTCCCCGCGGAAAAACTACCGACTCGACGCTCCATGGCGAGGTGCTGCTCGTAAGTGCTCGGGAATGGGGGCAATGGTGGGGTGGTGTCGGACATGCTGGCAGTGATTGGGCTGGTTGACTGGTGGGAGTGGGAGTCTACGAACATGTCCTCATCGTCGTCGTCGTCGCATTCATCCTGGGTGAAGGGTAGGGAAGGGGGCATACTTATATTGTGGTTCCGGTGCGGTGCACCATGCTATGTTGTGGGTTGGTTGGGCAGGTCAGGAAGCTAGGTTTCGGCGGGAATGGCTGTGGGAGAGAGAGGGGAGAAACGTGGCGGCATCCATGGATCCGTCGGGTTCGGGTGAGAGCGTCGGTCGAATTATGGATGGGGGATGTGGAACATGAAAATTTTGCCGGTGGACCACGTGATGATCTACTTTGCATTGTTTCCCTTCCCTTCCATTGGCTGCGATGCTGGGGGCGCATGTCTCGCCAAGGACGGGGAATTATATTCCCGAGCTTAACAATTCCGTGGGTCCTTTGGATTGATTGAGTGAGTGACCGAGTGAGTCCCAAGAGGCGGTCCTTGTGGAAGGACTGCACCCTTAGGCGCGGTGCGAGTATCATACTCGGGCACAGTAAGGCCCGTCAGGCTTTTGCCAATTCGCACTTCGTATCGGCATCATAGCCACCCGCGTCGGCCTTGCGGTTGCCAACACCGTAACTTAGCGCGTTCAAACGTATCATAGTCTAGAGTACTAGCACTGCACAGTACTGTACGAGTACTCGTAGAGAGCGAGGCAAGGAGAGCATTACCTTACATTGTATGAGATCAGGGCTTGAAATGGCTGCCTGTCCGTGCGGTGGGCCTGGACGGATGGCAGCACAAATAGCGGCACTTGCCGGACATCTGTCACTGCCATAAGTCACCATGGCGTCTATCGTGCGACGGCACTGAGTTGCGGCAAGGAGGGGAGTCGGATGTCTCGGTCAGGCGCTCACCTCACCACATTGCTTGGAGCACACCGTTCTGCGTAAGCAGTTGGTATGGGGAACCTCAGGACGCTGGAAAACCCAAGGCAATAGAGGGCTGTACCATATCGGTAACTTAGTCAAGATCAGAGGATACCGCGTGTCCGCCTCCTTGCCCGTTCATTGTTGGCGGACCTACCCGGGCGGACATAAGGATTATCCCTATCGAGCGTGCCTACTGTACAGTACATTTCCCAGCGGAGAAAAGATGCTCCACTTGTTTTGAATGTTGCAACATAATGGTGCCGGCATCGTAGCACCGGGACTGAATCACACATTCTATCTCTTGACGGGAATCACTTCATGATTCATTTCCCCCGTCACGCCTTTGTTTGAGGCGCTCGGAGGGATGATTTGGCGTGTCCCGACGCCTGCCGGTCTGGTGATTTGTTGTTGTGATTAACTGAGGCTCTCGAGTAATCCCTCTTGCCGACCCAAAATCGGAGGATCGATCCTCCGCTAGGGGGCTTGACGGGTCGAAACCAGGCATGCTGTGGACCCCTCCCGCTGCAAGTTGCAGGAAGCAGAGAGCCACTCTACCGATGTTCTATCCGTGGGTACCCAGTCGCAGTAGAATACGGTACGGTGGGTAAAATGCGATACTGTGTCCGAGCTGTCTATTCTCCTGGCATCTATCGAGCCTACTCTAGTCCGCTTGGATATGCACCCCCTTCTACTGCCACTCCCTTTATCCTCTTTACTTTTTTACCTGAATACCATACCTCGCGTAATCAAACCCGACAATACTCTCCCTCAACTCGCCCCACCCATCGCCCACTTTTCCAATCTTCCTGTCCTCCTCCACGACCTCCCCCTCCGCATCGCCAGCCATCGGGAGGCCCGCCAATATCTCCTCCTCTTTACCAACAAACACCTTCCTGAGCTCCTTATGCGGTATCCATACCACGCGCATACCGGCCCTCCTCCCAGCCTCAACTCCCGGAACGGCGTCCTCGAAAACCAAGCATTCTTCCGGTAAAATCTCGGCCTTGCCTTCGCCACGTAAGCGAGCGTTTATGCTCTCTAGCGCGACGAGGTAGATGTCGGGTGCAGGTTTCCCGCGACCGTGCTGGATTCGTGGATCATCACCGAAGATTTGCTGGTCCTTGGGAAAGAACTTGAAGAGGTCCTTGAGGTGTGCTGTCTTTACCTCGAAAGCCTGAGCTCCACTGGACGTCGCGAGCGCGGCTTCAATCGGTAAGCCCGAGGGGGTAGTCGCGGTGGAGAGGGTCTCTAAAAGTTCCGGGGCTCCCGGAAGCGGGCTGCAGGAGGGGAAGAATTCAGTCTGGAGTTCCGTGCGGCGCTTGAGGAATTCCTCGTGGGAGATTTTCAATTGGGCCCATTTTAAGAATATGTTTGTCGACTAATGGGTTAGTTGGTCAGTGGTCAATTGGTTCGGGAGGGGGGAGGAGTGAGGAGGAAACAAACCGTCGGCCCCGGCCTCCCCTGGAGTTGCGCTTTCAAACTCCAAGGCATGATCGGACGCCCATTTTCCACCAGGATCATGTTCGTGACCTTTGTGTAGATGTCTTCCGTGTTGAGTAGGAGGCCGTCCATGTCGAAGAGACAAGCACGGATCGGTCTGAGCCCAGGACGGTTAGCATCGTATCCATTGCAATTTCAAAAGAGAGCAAGGGAAGTGAAATCACACTTGGTCGTAGCCATTGTTTGTTGATTCTAGTGTGGCGGCGATGTGAGATTGTATGAATGGCGGGGTTGCGGGGTGATGATGGAGAGCAAAAACTTGAGACGGAGGACCCTTCTCTACTCGTAGACTACCCTAGCGCATCAACGGGAACTGTGACATTTTCACCCTAAAGTGTTCTTCCCCCACCGCAAGCAATCCTGGCAGAGACCAAGCTGCATTCTTTCCAGGACAGGAAACGCAAATACAAGCAGAATCAAGATACAAACGCGAGAAAAAAATTTACTAAACTTAGAGTCCTTCAGGACCTTTGGTTTTGCTCCTAATCTAAAAATCTTTCCTAGTTACAAGTATTTCCTGCTCTCCACTCCCGTTTACATCTCCACAATTGGAAAGGCTGAGGGGTAGTGCTGCACGGGGCAATACAGTAGTTTACGACTAAGTTAGCCACCGTACTCGAGTACGGTACAGGTACAAGGACGTTATGATACTTGTACCAGGAGTTTTATTTCCAAAAAGGGTGACATCTTCCGAGAGTTTGATCACGGGAACAGGAAGGGACATGGCAGGCCGGAACGAATCAGGGCTTCCGAAAATTCGGATCCAAGCCGGGGTGATCGAATGACTTAATAAGCAAGAATGTCATATCATATCACCCTCGGAAATATTTTCTTGCCGACTATGATATCATACCCAATGTTGGATTGCTCATCGGGCATGCGGATATAGGACATGAGGCCTCGAGGTGTGCGGCGATTAGGGTTACGGTCGCGGCTTGATGCCTTCATATCCAATGCCTACTGGCATGGGTATGGGTTCTTTGGTGTTGCGGGTACGTACGCGTTGCCACGAGCATCAGGTATTGGATATCTAGTTTTTGTTTGTTTGCACCGGAATTTTATGCCGGTTGGCATGGACTGTGATGTGATAATTGGTTTTATGCGGTTCACACTTTGAGCCTGTCGGCGCTGGACATTGGGCGCTACCTTTTCTATAGTTTGGATTGCTTCGGATAGTTTAGGGCCATGGGGGATCACGGGGGATGATGGTGCATTCTAGAGAGTGTATTTCTGTAGAGTTGGTTGAGTTTCATTTGGCTTGGGGGGTTGTTGTTATACGCACATAGTCTACATATCTCCCGGTTTGTCCTTGGCCAGAATCTCCACCGGTAATCCCGTTCACCATCTTTCAATGCCCAGCTGCATTCAGAGCTATTGAAATTGGACTCTCGCAGCTTTGTACTTTCAACTTCGCCACCGGGGCAGAGAGAATTGTTGCTAGCACCGCAATCTTTCCACCGATACTTTTTGCTTCCTTTTGCTATCATTCTATGGGCCTCCCTGCCCCTTACCTGTTGAGGTGTGGAGCGTGGACCGTGTCGGTGGCGGAGGAGAGATGGTCCTTGATACTAACAGAAGAGAGAGAAAACTACCGGTACCCGAGAAGGAAAACATATATTCCGAGCACCCGAAACAGGACTGCCCTGAACCCAACCAAGCCAAACCTCATACATGACCTAAGCGTGGGTATCCATTTCTCCCTGGAAAGCCAACATTACTCCCGGTATATACTATCATACCTCGGAGGATTATTTGTTTTCCGCTTTTGCTAGAAGGGATTCGGGAAAAAATGACCCCCTGGCTCGGAAACCCCCATTTAGACTCCTATCCCTATTTTGATCAACCCCTCCCTTCATTGCCGCAAGGAATATTCCGGGCGCTGTACGGAGCTCAGCCACTTTACACTTTATTGCAAGACTAAGGGATGACGCGGTTGCTATCCTGATGAGGTAAGCTCAATGGTGAACCGAGTCAGCGCCGACATGACTCTACGTGTGTCGACAGTGATGAGATTCAGCGATGAAGACATTGGAATTTGTAACCTGGCCGGGTCATCCTCTGCGGTCTCGGAGTGGGGATTGTGGTCCTGGAGTGTGGCTATGGGATTGCCGGTGGATATGAGGGGCCATGTGAGATATCGTGCCGAGTGACGGGAGATGATGATTATAATGCACGGGTTCATATCAACATCTTTGACAAGTGTCGGTAACTTTCCCGGTATCTCACTGCGATGGGTTGGGGACTGATGTGTATATCGGGTTCTAGAAACTTGGCTACGGTACTCTATACTTCATGAACCCACCTGTTATTTGAATGCCTGTTACCCCTCCATAGGATCTAAACACTTGACAAGCCATGGATTCGCTCTTGGAGCAATTTTTTCGAAGGCCCTGGGATGGCGAACTAGCGTGATAGGCTTTTTCCAGGGCCAGATGTATATAGTGCCTGTGCACGGCCCACTAGATTCATCTATCCCCGCACGTAGATGTGGTGACTCGAATTCTTTCTTTCTTTCTCTCCTCTCTACTCTCCTTCAGCATCAGATCGCGACTAGCACGGAACAGTTATCGCCGTGGCCTGTAGTCTAAAGGAGAAGCAGGGCGCCACACAATCGGTTCGACAAAGATTACCGTCCTCTTGTGTAAAGTTATCTTGGGCAGGATATATGGGGCTTGGCACATTAATGTGAACCTCCCCCGGTTCTCGCGGATGCTTTTCGGAATAATCAAACGGAGTGGTGAGACAAATCGTAAAGCGTACGATTCTTGATGTTTTCTTGTTTTAAAGATCCTAACGCTCCAATATATCTAAGATAAGCGGAGCAGAGCGGCCCTTGATATATCTATCAACATGTAGGAACGCGATGGGCGAAATCTCTGATATTTCCCATCAATTCCACAAAGCGTCAAGTTATGGGGGTCTCCAAAATCTCTATAGCCCTGCAGAGATAGGGAATTTTGTGTGGGGGAGGTATGATACGGGAGAATACGAAGAGTTTCTACTGTGATAACTTTCTTGGGTGCTTTTCCAATTGTTACGTTAGCCCTTTCCAACTGTACTGCGGTGCGGCCGGTCACTTAGAAACGAGTGACTCTCTATGAGTGCCCTCGTGCCGGGTGGTCCAGAGCCCACGGCAGCACCCCCAAACCATACAGCCCGGTTTCTAGCCCTAGCACGTATCCACGATTGTTTCGATCTCAACTACCGGTGGTATCGGAAGCCTATCCTATCCTCACCACCACAACGCCAAAATCACTAATCATTATTTCCTCCAAGAGGCTACGATATGATACTTTAGAGCTCCCGTTACGGTACTTTCCGCATCACGTCGTGTCATACCTATTCTACAGGTCGTGCAAGCTCGACTCTCAGTAAAAGGTTCCGTGCATGCATGCGTGCATGCAGCTCTCACTTTTTCAAGACAGCTCCTACCGGTACGCTCAAATGTTTGTGACCGGGTGCCTTCCGACCGGCCCGGTTTCTCCGACTTCTTCTGGGTCCTGCATGTGGAAACCGGGGACTGGGGCTGAGTGCGCTGCACCGCGGGAAGTGGATTTGGAGGGGTTGAGCCGGAGCTGTTGTGGTTCGTATTGTATTGTGTTTTATGGTTGGGGGTGGTGGGTAGGGTGGGTTTTAATCGCCTGAGTGGAGAGAAATGCGGTGGTTTTTTTATTTTTATTTTTAGGGATGAGGTTATGCTTGCTTGGTGATTTCTTATCTTGTGTGCGCTGACGTGCTGTACGGCACTTGTTGAGTAATCAAATTTCCGGGTCTCGGGACAGGCCCTTTCAGCTTGTTCGGCCGAGGGGTTGAGGGTGGCGATATCCATTGTGACCTGAGCTTTTGCTGTGCCTGGTTCCCGAAGCGACAGGAGTATGTGTTGCAATCGGTAGAGATAGTGAGTTGCGATTGGTCATGGGAGGCGCTGGGGGATGTTGGAAAGGCAAAGTTGTTTCCGGAAGCCGTGAGAACTCGTTTCATTGCTTGGCAACATCATAGATTTGTTTGAAGGCTGGAAGAGGATTCTAGAGATATGTCTTTCCTTTGTTTTCACGGAAGTGGGTAGATGAACTTGGACATGTGTGGAATCACGAAGATTGGTATAGCGATTCATGAAGGGATTGGATTGCTTTGATGATGTTTTACTTTTACACCTGTCATTACCGATCAGTTAGGAGATTGAGCAGAAACAAAAGCGAAGTTCATACCACTCCCATTGTCCCAGCACAGCGAAGTCCCTACTATTCCGTTCTTTTTACCACTTTTCTTAACGCTGGGGTGTACGGGTCAATGGAGAGATGCGTGAGGAGAGAGATATAAGTGCAGTGGTATGTGGAAGAGTTGGAATGTTTTGATTCCCTTTCGAGTGCACTCCTGTCTTTACCGTTAGTTTAGTTTCGGTAACAGAGAGAGGAGCGTTGACAGGCAAGATAACGAGGTTTTAACCATTCCTTTATCACAGAGAGTCAGAGTCCAGAGCCACTACCCCCCCCACAATACCACCGCTCTATTTTCTAGTCACCCTGGGGAGTTCTTTCTGTTCTTAACAGAGAGGGTGGCTTGATGGCTCTCTCCATGTGAAGTAAATTCTGTCTTTAGGGCCTTATCCTTATGCTGCTTCAAAAACCAGAAAGCTTTCTTAATTGTTAACCTTAGGTATGGTTTCCATGTGAAAAGTATAGTGTACAATGTGAACAGGATACATATTAAAAGAAATGACTAAAGGATGAAGCAACGGAGATGAGACCACGGTGAACCAATGGCAACTAAACACAGGGAAACAATAAACTGGGCGGTCCATGGAAGCACTGGCTAAGGGTGGACCAAGAGGCATATGCGTCTCTCAGGACTTCTAACAGCTCTGGAAACCAAGAAACCCCGGAAATCTCTAAAGATAAACGAAATCTAGAAGAACAAATCACTCTTGTAATAGTAGGAACGCAGTAGAACAGTTAAGATGGTGGATGGGAGTATGAACCATCTCCCTAGACAATCCGCCTACCCTCATGTAAATTAATCCCCTGGCCCACTTCTCTATGCTGCATGGACTGGGCTTAAACCCAATTCTCCATGTCTGATACTCTGGGACGGCGGATATAAAAGAATCCCAACCAATACAAACACCTAGTGCATCACGGTCTATGGTGTAGGGAAAGAAAAAAAGAACACAATAACCGAAACACAAAGCCTTGGCGTTAAACACAGCGCCTAGTAATTGGATGCCCCATACCCGGATGCCTCATAATAGGTTTATTCATGGTGATTAAACACATACCGGTGTGATGGAACCTGGGATAATTGGGGCCTAAGCGGGGACGTTGGAGGCGCCTCTCCCGGTCAGCTTTTCTCTAATTTTCTTTTCGTTGGCCTTAGCAGTACAGCGGGGAGAGAGAATAGCTCTGGCCTTCGACGTTGTGTGAGAAAGGTATGATTAGAAACTCGGCCACCTTGTTCAACTATTCCTTCTCGTCGTCCCCTGTCTCTCTAGGCTGAGCGAAACTAATGGTGAAGACAAGGGTATATTTCAGACATTGTCTAGGCATTCTAGTTCTTCAATTGCTCACTACACCTATCCATGTTCTTCCATGTATGTTCTCGCTCCTCCGTGCACTACCCCTATGATATAACAAATAGAGAGCGTATCTGGACTGTGGAGAATCTTCACCATATGTCACAAAGGAACAATCCACCGCACTCCCGGATGGTTTGCTGTGCTCCTGAAACTTCCGGGATCATTCACGAGTCTATATTATCATCTGTGCCCTCTGACGAGACCAAAGGGTAGGGCTATGGACATTGTAGCTCAGTTCCTGTCATTCTAGTGTCTGCAATACCATTAATCAAGTGCTCTGACCCCCCCCCCCCAAATAAAATAAAAAGGCTATAGAAAGCCTAGGTTGCGTAGAGAAAACCTGTGTTTGAAAATTGGTCGAGGATCCTGGTTCAGAATGGGGTGGTGCAGGATTAGCGTCTAGAAGAATGGGAATAACTGGTTCTGGGCGTGGAGTATAGCAAATGAGGAAGAAGAAAAATAATAATAATACTGATATATAATAACCGGGAAAGGTAAAACTCAGATCCGCGCCCAAGCCGATGTAAATATAGGAGAAATATCAAAAAGCAAGGACGGCACCCAACGACCGAATCCTTGACTGGAGTAGTGGGATTCCTATGGTTCACGTTTGTTCTGTAAGATGGATTCGGTATAGAATCTACCATGGGCACCCATGTTGCCCCAATAGCTGCAGCTCTTCTCTATAATGCCTAACTTCTATCGGACCATATCCTAGATTTTTATCCTGATCTCACTAGACAATCAGCTCGCTCAAAAATATCGATATTTCCACCTCTACTTGTATATCTTTGCTCACCCAATACCATACCTCATGTTACTGTCCGCATGTCTGGCTCGGGGTGGCTCGAGTATTTCTCTGGTCGGGCACACGCAGAGTATGAACCGGGTTTTACAAGAATGGAAGATCCGTTGACAGAACTACATGTACTGTAATATAATTTGGACATGTCTCTTTTCATCTGGATTGGAGTAGCCCCTCCCGATCACCCGCCCTACCGTAACGGTAGCTGTCCATCACGTTCTGGAGCTTGTTCCGGTATTCTCAGCCGTATGGCTGGCCACCTGGGGATGCCGTTCGAACTCGTGTTTCCGCCTGCCCCAGGATCCCTTGTTGGCTTTCTTGACTGCCTCCCCTGGCGGTCTTGATTATGTTTCGGAATATTGGTTATTGCCGTAAGTTACCTGCTTCCGGTTTTATACCCATGCCTGGTTGCCTGGCTGCCGTGATTTCCGTGCCGGCCTGCTGGCCGGACCATTGATGGCGGTGCCCGCGGCCGGAGGTATTTGTACGTTGAGATTGGGATTCACTTATGTGTTTACGGATGGGTGCTATTTTTCTCTACCATACCTATCCTGAAGGCCATTATGGGATTCATTTTACAAGGTGCAAA